GCGGCATGGCGGGCACGCGGAAAATAGAGGCGAGCACACGCGAGAATCGGGCTTGGGCAGAGCAAGCTGAAGAGGACGCCTAGTCAGTGCACAAGCATACAGGAGTACACAAGCATCAAGGATCATGAGCTACAACTGCCTCTTCAACTGGTTTGTCATGAGATTCTTAGCTGCTGAAACTAATTAGGGCCCCTCAGATTTGCCACCCTAGATCCATTAAGGTATGTCCCTGTACAGTCCTAAATTCCGTCCGATAGATCCCCATCAACCTGCGAAGCAGGGACCCAAACTTTTGGAACCCGCATGCGCAGTACCCACAATGTATAACATACAAAGCCATTGGTGGCCCATGAAGTCTGCGCACATACACTAATTCCAAAGCGGCGAATAAGGTCGGTTGGGGACTAACACAGTTTACCCATTTGAGTAGTGTTTTTTGATGGCTGAGCCTAGTAAGACTATCTTCCTTATATTATAGCACAGCATGCTCTAACCCAAAAAGAGAATACGATCTTACTCTATAATGGGGGGCTATAGTATCCCCAAATAAAAGACGACTCGTTTGCGGGCAGGTCGTTGAAGGTCATGTTCATTTAGAGCCTGAATCAATACTTTCTCAGTAACCTAACGGACGTGGGTACCTGATTCAGGCCTACATTAGGGACTATACCAAACTAAACAAGGGATCCCTACGTCCACTGTTGAGGATCCCTTAGTAAGGCTAATATTGACACTGGCTCAATTCCCCAGCGTTGGTCTTCAGCAATTCCACAACAGCGTGAGATATGTGTAGTTCTCAAAACTAGGGTTCCAGTTTGGTACCTCTAAATATTAGGTGCCGAGATACATCTATTTCCAAAAAAAACCCATGATTTTGACAACTACCCATATGAGACCTGGACTAAGTTTTCAGTATATCCTTTAATAGGTCCCCCAAAACCCTGTATAGTCCCCTATAGGTCCCCCCAACCTAAAGTTAGTCCGTAGCTCATATGAGTGACTCCTTTTATGTGCACGATGAGTAGTTTATGGTCCATCCAAGGCATTAGGCTCTTAATGGTGTAGCACATATGGGTGGTTGTCAAAATTATGGTCCCTTTTTGGGTACCCGAAGTATAAGGGTGCCGTATTATGATAGGGATCCAAACAAGGGACCATAATTTTGACAACCACCCATATGATCCTGATTTCAAGGCCCATGTAGTCCCCAACTTGGTAGGGGAGATTTCCAGGGCCACCCCCAAACTAGGACGGATGCCATAAGAAGGACTCCTTCAGAGGAGATGAGCCCTAGTCTAAACTCCTAGTATCCCCGTAATAACCACTAAAATACTCCCCTGTATACTCCCCAATGTAACCGCCTTTAAGGAGTTTAGACTATTGCTCAGATGATGTAAAAGGGACTGAGAAGGTCTGTCCTACTGCGGAGCCCCTTAAAATCGATCTGACTGACGTAGTGCCTTCACACCATCAGGCGTTCCCTTTTGTGGGCTCTTTCTGGGCGGGTCCCTGCATGATTTGGGAGTGTGGATGGAGGACCCCTATTTCGGAAATACTCATATGGATGAGGTTGCTGGACATGCACAAGCAAAGACGCTGCACCTGCTCCTGCGCACTGTCTGGAATTGGACTGCTGCAAATTTTACCACCTCTCTGGCAGGTCTCTGTCCTGGGTTGGCCCCTAAAGCCCTTTGAAAAATATTGGTATATAGAGTCACTTATTAAAGCCATTAGGGGAAATAATAATTACCCCACGGGCCTGCCCAGTGTCTAGCTTTAACTTGGCAGGTTCTGAGTTGTACTGAGACTTCCAGCACTTCTGCAAAACGCCTGTGCTCGCGGAGTGCAGACAGACATGCGGGGCGTGGCCTGTGGCTCACTAGCCGCTCGCCAAAAGCATCTACACCCCTGACTCAGTACTGCCCTGTGCTCAGGGTGGTGG